TTCCCCTAATTTAATGTAATCAGCCTTGTGGAAACTATAATAGCCCTGGCCAGAATGGCATCAGAGATGGTCAAGGAGGGAGAAGAGTCCTCCGCCAGTAAGGGGACTCCTTCTCTCCCTCCCCATGCTCCCTGCTGGGATGGGGTCAGGGTCCTAGTTAGAGACTTCAGTCTTCAACGAGCAGCCAGGAGGCCACCAGCGAGATCACATGGGAAAGTAGAACTCTGACCCCTTCCCAGCAGTGAGGAGCCTTTGTGCCTTGGTGTCACGGAGACCTAGTGGGGAACCTGGACTTTCACTCTCCCCTCTTCTCTCCTTCAACCCATCAGAAAAGTTTAAACAGAAGGGTTACACAAAATCCAGGTCTTACATACAAAAATATCCAGGTTTCAAGAGAAAATCCCTGTAAAACCAGGAAACATATCAAACTGCATGAAAAAAGGCAACCAATAAATGCCAATACCAAGACCAATGAGATGTCAGAATTGTCTGACAGTATCCGAAGTAGCCACGATAAAAGTGCATCGTCAATGAGCACTCATCCTCAATGAGCGCTTATCAACAAACGGAAGAAGAAAAAAAAAAGCAAGCCTCAGTAGAGAAACAAAATATATGTATAAAGAAAAACCCCAAAATATAATAGGTGAATTAAAAGGGTGCACAGCTATGGTTTTGCTATTGAATGTCCCATCCTCCAAAGGTCTATCACTAAAGGCATGCTCCCCAGAGGGCACCACAGGAAGGTGCTGTGAACCCTCCAGAGATGGGGCCTAGCGGGAGGCTGTTGGGTCATGGTGAGCACGCCTTCAAACCAGGCTGAGAGCCCCCATACCTAACTCCTCTCTGGTTTCCTCACCCTCTCTTTGTTCTACCACATACTCCCAGCCATTGTCAACCAGTACACCCACCAGAGACCCAACACAACTGGAACCCTCCAAAACCGTTACTAAAATCAACCTTATCTCTTTATAATTTAATTATCTTAGGTATTTTGTGATAGTAATGGAAAGCTAACTGGCACCAGCTCAAAATCTAAAGGGAAGGTACGACAAAAAAGAATCAGCACACTGGAAGATAGAAGGACAAAAATTACTTGATCTAAATAGAGGGGAAAAAAGACAGCGAAATCAAATCTTTCATAAATTTGTTTGGTAATGATGTCATTCATCTACTTGTCATTTCTGAAGGTTTCATTTATACATTATGGGACAAAAAATGTATATCTAGAAATTTATCCCATTAGAAATACACTGAGGTCTATAGATAAGAGCGGAACACAGGCATTGTTGGTAACAGCAGAACATGAAGCCCGTTCAAGCTCATGAGTAAAGGATTTGTTAAATTATACACCATCACTGGAGTGTGGAAATCTAGGGTTGGTTTTTTGTTTTTCTTTTTTTTGTGTGTACCTGGAATGAAATAGTTTTTATCTAAAGCCTTTCAAGTCCTGCTTTGACTCTCCCTTTCTGGATTCTTTCGGCGGGGAGCAAGATTTTGTAGATTTTTTCATTTTTGCATGTCTGTTGGTTTTTTGGGGTTTTTTTTGTTTTTGTTTTTGTTTTTGTTTTGGTACCGGGGATTGAACTCGGGTCCTTGTGCTTGCAAGGAAGGCCACCGAACCACTGAGCTAAATCCCCAGCCCGGTTTTCAGTTTTTTGTCTTTGTCAGTGGCTGTTGTTTCAAGCTTCCTGCTTCTTTATTCTAAGCTTGGGATATGTAAAGAAAGAAAAACAGACTCAACTACAACTGATTGTATCTTCCCAGCAGCAAGTCTCTCAGAAGTATTAAAGAAGCATTAAAAATGTACAAAATGTAAAATATCCACACAAAGAAATATCAGACCAAAAAAAGCAATGAAGCACTGGTACATAGGCTAACTTGAATGAACTTCAAAAACAAGCTAGGCAAAAGGAGCTAGTCACAAAGATTAGATATTATATGATTTCATGTACATGAGATATCCAAAATAGGCAAACAGAGTAGTGGTCACCTAGGGTTTTGAGGGAGGGGGCATAACTGATAATGGGGGTTGAGTTTCTTTGGGGTGGTGATAAAAATGTCCTAACACTAGAAATGTTATTATGGTTACATAACTGTGAGTGAACTAAAAACCAGATTTTTACCTCTGAAATGGGTAAATTATTTGGTGTATGAATTATATCCAATGAACTGTTTTTAGCTGGACACGGTAGTATCCGCCTATCATTCCAGCACTGAGGAGGCTGAGGCAGGAAGATTACCAGGAGTTACAGGCCAGGCTAGGTTT